CCTTTTATTTCATATACAGAGATACAATTTTCAGGATGGGAGAAGCGGCCAATCACAGGGCCGGCCATTCAACACACAATTGGGAAAGGCAGGCGGTGGTGGTGGGATTCGAATACATCCCCAGGGTGATAATTTGGTGAGATTATCCCGGACCACCATCGCCAGCGAAACCGGCTAGAGCATTACCCAACCAACAGTCATGGAAAGGTATTCCTTAATATACATGTGGTTGGAACATTTATTGTTCATGAATAAATAGTTTCGAGGTTGAGACGATCCGGTACTTAAAATAAATAATGCTTGAACACTGTATTTTAACTATCGAAAAGTATCGTAATACACTCTGAGGCCAACGACTCGATCTAATTCGTGTGCAGTGACATGACTAAAGCTTTTTGCNTTTGCGTCGAGACTAAATGATCATAGGTCGCAACTGAGGGATTACCGGTTTTGACCAAGGCGTGATGGGAAGTAATGTAGATAGATGATGATGTATTCATTGCACAAGATAGAGGGTGTCTATAGTTTAACGTTGTGAGCTAGATAGACGACAATGGATATAAAATAAGCTGTACAAATTAGCTTGAAGTGCTGTTTGCACAAAGGGAGGATGGCCAATTGTCTTCTGACTATCGTAATTTACCTGTTTAATGAAATTCATGAAACAAACTACTGGATCGAGGCAGAAGAGCTGAAAATCTTATTTGAATAGTCTCCGAAGGGAGGGTGGGGAATTTATGAGAGCGACTGGGTAAAACTGAGAAGCAAAGCGGTCACTTTCTTTGTGAGAAAATTACAGTGCGATGAACACAACACACTACAAGCGAGAGCAACTTAATTCCGGAATCATTTCGCTGCATCTCAGCTGTTGCTCACTGCAGAATATAAAACAAATTATATAGCACAGATGTTGATCATCTTGATAGTCTTTCCCTCTAACTTTCTTCTTTTCCAATCCCCTGGAAATGCCGTGATTTTTTATTTACTTTTAGTTTTAAATACTTTCGAAAGTACAGAGGTGAAGGAAATGGGTGACTTTTCCTGGTTCCGATATGAGATATAAAAGGGTTGGCAGTAAAGAATAGAGAAGATGGAGGTGATAATTACATTATTGATCACTGTGGGGACTCTAATAATAAACTCTTTAAGCTTCCGGCAGAAGTGTAAGATAAGTCGACGGAAATGAACATC